TGCATGATGGCCTTGGTGATGAGTGCGTATGGAAAAAGTTAGGGGTCCAGTGGCTGAATCAGAAAAGAGAACACAGTACGGGGCTGACATCGTTCATATCCGATCAGTGCCGGTTGCATGGGTGGTACGAGGTGGCACGCACGAAACGTCACCCAAATTTGGGATGCAGTGGGCATGCCCATCTTAGGGCCCCACGCAAAAGTTGAGTGAATTCGGACACCAAACGCATGTTGCGTCACGCCCGGTCAGTGTTTTCGGTGCGTTTCACGAAGAAAACCATTGGAAATTCATACGGTGCCGAAAAATTATGAAAACTTGCAGGCATGATGGCCCTGGTGATGAGTGCGTGTGGAAGAAGTTAGGGGTCCACCGCCGAGTCAGAAAAGAAAACCATAGGAAATTCAAACCATAGGAAAATTATGAATGTTGCATTACAAAATGCATTAATATTTTCTGTCGTTAAAGAAACATCGGAGATAATGGCTCTCTTTTTGAAGAAAATGCATGATCCATGTGAACCTTCACCAACTCTGAGCAGGTGAAGACTCACATTGATCCTGCATATCCTCCAAATAGAGTCCCACAAACTGAGATGTTTGTGCATTGACAAAAAGAAAATTATATAAAGGAGTGAACGGCGCGCCGGCTTAGCGATGTGGTATTAAACTGAAATGTTAAAGTAGAATGCATGTTTTTAATAAATGCATCGTGGGCCAGCCGACGGTAGTTATACGGAACGGGCGAAGTGGCCCACTATGGCGTGACCACGTATATGACGCCGTACATGCGTGCATGGCATGGAAACCACGCCGCCATTACCTCGCCCCAGGACCGCCTAACCCCGCCGCCTCCACGCACGCCCTCCCCCCGATCCGACGGTCACACCGTCGTGGCCGTCCCAACTCCCGTCCCTGCGGGCCTGACGGTGGCCATACAGTCCGGCATCTGCGCGCGCGACTTGGATCTCAGTCCCGGCCGTGCCGTCTCGGCAAAGTCGCCCGCACCCTAAACCCTAGGACGGGCCGTCGGCTAGTGCGCTAGTGTGGGAAGAGGGCGCGCGGCTGCCATGACTAACCCACAATGGGTGGGGTTAGGCAACGTGGGCTGCCGGTGCACGTCGAGACGCCGGTAGGTATGGTATTAAACCATCACTTATGTAATGTTTTTTGAATCTCGTAACTAGTTAGGTAACTGTCATCTTATTTAGAATGCCAGAATTGGGAGATGTGTACTGCTCGGTTGAGAAGTGGTGCGAATTGGTTGGAAAATTCACACCCAGACAGCGCATGATGCTACGTGGCACAAATTTGGACAGTCGAGAATTCCTTCAGTGAAAATGAGGAAAAGTTTATTGGAATTTATGATTACAACGTATGATAGTAGTAGAAAGCGATTTATTATTCGGCCAAATACTGACGGCATCAGTGTGCTTAATGAAGATGTTTATGACATATTCGGGCTATGTAACGAGGGTGATGATGTCAGTGGCATGATAGCAACTGTACAACTAGATGCCAAAAAAATTGTTCCGAATCGGTTTCTAGACAAAAGAACAGGCCTAATCCTCATCGATGAGTTGATAAAAAATATTGTTGATACTCAGTCATATGATGATGATTTTGTGAGAAGGGTCGTACTGGTTCTTTTGGGTACAGTCTTAGCACCACAATCCACCAAGTTTGTTCCTTATCGTCATTACAAAATGGTGGAGGACGTGAACGCTATCAAGTCATACAATTGGAATGATTTCACGTTGGGGGTGTGCATGGATGCTATTAAGAAATCGGTCGAAGATCTTGAAAAATTCAAGTGGCCTATCGGGAACTTGGCTCTTCTTCAGGTACAAGTCATTTCGTAATAGTTGTATGTACATATAATTTTTATGTGATCTATGTGTCTGACTAGTTGTGTTCACTATCATGCAGTATATATACTGGGAAAAAGTTGAGCCAATTGGTGTGGATACATTTGATCCTTTGTCTCGTGAATACCCACTAATGCTTAACTGGCCAGAAACGGAAGGGACAAAGCGAGACGACTATGACAACATGCACGGGCGTGGCACCGGCAATGTGAGTCAATAAGTATAGTCCTTATTGGTTGCACGTAGTAATTAAGTATATCTGTTATTTAATTTATTTTTTTGTTTGTTGTATAGATTGAAAACTGTGTTAGCGAAGAGTACAGACGTGCTAAGGTAGCACGTGAAGGGACTGTCCTAGAGGAAGAAACGAAGAAACCTAAACGGAAAGGTGGTGGCAAGAGTAGAAAGCCAAGCACGTCCGCGGTTTCATCGAGCACGACTTATAGTATGGACCGTGTGATGACATACATAAAGCTGCTTCACAAGGAGGTTCTCAATATACCCGAAAGATGTGCACAGATAATTTAGAAGTTGTATTGAACATGTTTTAATTGTTCAACTACTTATCGTGTTTCATTTGTGTTTGCAGATGGTAATGGAAAGGTTGAACACGGATGATGTGTTGTACAAACCCAATAAGAGGGACAACAATGACGAATTTGATAATGTAGATGAAGGAGTTGGGATGGAGAATGGCCAGTACAAGTCATCAAAATATTGGCCAGATATTGATTCACCTACCGATGTAAAGATAGGAACATCTTTCACGGGTATCAATGATACATCCGTGCCCGTTGATGACACGGGTGCTCCGGCGACGACACCGGGTAAAGGTGAAGCTACTGATCCTTTCATTATAGACGATAATGGAAACTCTCCATCTTCGGCATCAACTGTACGTACAAAAGACTTTCTGTCTATGTCCCGAACCCCGCAGAATGTTGATATTTCTGGTGAGTCTATGGATGCTTTGTCACCAACAAAGTCCAAAGACACGTTCGAGAGTTACCCGGCAGAGAGCAACATAGATAATGGTGAAGGAAGTCAGGAAAATGATGGTAAGCGCAAAAGAAAAAAGTTGAAATATTGCCAACCCCCCTACGACATTCTCATTACCCACAAGAAACGTGTTAAAAAAAGTAAGTCAAGTACTACTTTATAATTCATTCATGCGTTGTGTAAATTTTTTATTATTTTTAATAACTGCAGCTGCATTATTTTAGATCTGTTTGCATCGTCATCACATTCAATTCTAGCAAGTTCTCTTCATATGACTCCGGATCACATAGAGGCAGCCAGAGTTTTTGTTGAGACTCTCCCATCGACAAAGAAGCATGCACACCGAACCGTGGTCGATGTGCCGCCACCAGATGGGGACATATGCACGCCAGCTATGCTTCACGATGTCCTCACGTTTAAATGGTTGAATGGCGCTGTAAGTATGAGTTTGGTTTTAACAAAACTCTCATTTGTACTTCACAACTTGATAGAAATTTTTTGTTTATGTATGCAGAACATCAATGCATATTGTAAACACCTACAACACCGTGATTTTTCTGATCGTTACATATCAACAATGTGGTTCCCCAAATTTATGTTGAGTAGGGCAAGGGGAAAGACCAAGTCAGTAAATGATTTAGACTCAGAACATGTTACAAAGAAAACAAAAGTCATCGCAAGAGTAATGGATCAGTATTTTAGACAGGACAAGGTATTGCTTTCATATTTATTTGTTTTTATTACTCATTACTATTTAATTGAACTAACGTCATTTGGTTACTATGTAGGCATATTTTCCTATGCATGTTAATGATAATTATTGGATAACCATAGTGATGCACACCGTCAAGGAGGAGTTTCAAGTTCTTGACTCAAATTCTAAAGGCGCAATTTGTCAAAGAATTCGCAATATGATTGCCACCCTGGTACGCTATTATTTCCACACTCGTATTCAGAAAAATATTGAGTCATACATTAAATTCTGGTTTTGTTAATTTGTTTCAGAGAGCTGAAACTTCTAAGGATATTATGGAGGCCAACTCAACTCTTGAATCAAAAAAATTTCCAGATGTCTCATCGTGGCCAATTAATGAATATAAAATGCCGAGACAAAAAGATGGGTAAGCTAAATGAGTACAAGCAAGTGCATGCTATATCGTAAGCTGATCACACATGTTTATTGCAGAGTGTCTTGTGAACTTTTTGTGATGTGGTGCATAAAATACTGGAATGGAGATTGCTGGACACATGAATTTGACCAGGAAGAGATTAATGAGTCAAGGCCACTTACTGTCGCGGAAATCATTTTTTCAGAGGTGAACAAATTAGAGAAGGTCAAGATGAAAATTGTTAAAATCATGGAGAAGGAATAGGTATTAGCATCGGTAGGGTTTTAGTCCCGTAGAAGGTTTCCCTACCGTTGTTGGATACTTTGATCGATTGTAATGCGACATGGCACTGGGACAGATTTCGACAATTTTTCACGTTTTATTTATCGTTTTCATGTGAGACTAAACATTTAAATGCGTGTGGGCAAGTAATATTATTGCAGTCCTAAAATGTATCAGTTTGCGGCTGCGATGTTATATGTACTTTTGTTGTTTCAACTCACGGCGGTCATTTATTTAATAAAAAATATCCCCGCCGTCCTGACTTGGCGCGATGTGGACAAAACCTGCACAATTTCCCACGTCGATTCTGGTGGCAGCAGCGGCGCTGGATTCGACTAATATTCCAGCCCAGCCCGCACGGTTGCCGACAGCCGAGGCAGTGGCAGGCCCGCGCACTCCAGCTAGTGCAGGCTGGCGCGATTCATCATGCCCCACACGCGGGTATGCTGGCCCAGCAGCCGACCGACCGACAACCGCGCGCCCGGTGGCACACGTCTCGTCCCGCCCCACCTAGCGGGCACATGCAACGACCCCGAGGGGGAATATGGCGATCTGTCGGGTCATAAACGACGCGCGTCGGGCGCGTGGGCCGATCCTCTCCGTGTGCGGATGGGGACACTGGCGCGTTGTGCCGACTAGGTTTTGTCCCACCTCGCCCGCGGAGAGACGCGCCGACCGGTTTATATACCCGCGTCGTCGCCTTCTCACAAGCTCGCTAGAGAACGCTAATGAATGCCCTGTTGTACGCCGTGGCCTCCCCGCTCGGCGGCCGAAAGGCCTCCCAGGAAGGCGTTGTAGTATACTGTCTGTGTGCCCGCCCGGCCACGGCATGGCCTTTTTTTCAAATATTTTTTTTCACATACATTAAATTTTACAAATGTTAATCAGTTGACAAATTCATGTTTCGGACATAATAATAAAAATCGCATGTCTCAAAACATCGAACAAGGTGGCATAAAGATTAACTCAAAGTGCCATGTCTCTTATGCTTAAACAAATAAACTGAAAGTGCCAGTGCCTTCCATCGAACAAGCTGGCTTAAAGAATAAACTCAAAGTGCCATGTCTCTTATCCTTAAACAAATAAACTAAAATTGCCAGTGCCTTCAATTGATTATGAATACTTCATCTTTATGCCCGGTTCCTACATAATAAATTATAAACAACTCATCAGACAATTGTAAAGAGAGAAACAAAAAATAATTAAAATAATGTAAAACTTACTTTTCATTCTCAGGGCACGTTTGCCGTCTATGCCCCTCTTTCTTACAAATGCCACATAGAGGACCGGGTTTTTTCTCAGAAAATGATTTTGGTCTTCCATTTTTTGTAACATTTGGATCTTTCTTTTCCCGCCCCGTCGTGCTCTGTTTAGGGGCGCCCTTCGTGGAAACTTTCATGGGATCACCTATGACATCAACATGCTGTTCCGGCTGACGTGGCTCTTCATGCACATTTCTTCTACTACCAACAACATCATTTTCAGGGACCTTTTTCTTCGCTATTATATTATGCAGACACTGCATCAACTCATCAAAGATGAATGGATCATTTGAAGCAACATGAAAAGCTTCAGCTCCTGTTACACTGAGTTGACTATAGCGAGCACGTTGTTCTTCCTCTGTCCAACACCAGCCAAACATGTCACTCTTTCGCTGTGCAGACAACCCACCTCTCGCAACTTTCGACATCCTCTTAAGGATGCAACACTTAGGTTTTTTAAATATTTTCAGATGAACCAACACATACGGAATGTGTTTGCAAGGCAATCCTTTCTGAAGCATTCGTCCACAACTGCAGTCTATCGTATTCTTAGAGTTTTCAGCTCGATAATTCACGCTGAACTGAAATATGCGGTTATTTCTCCATGACATGATGAAGGTGTGGCAGTCAACTCCCACTAGCGTCTCAAAAATCTCAAGCTCTCCCATCTTCTTCAGATCTTGTTGAAGAATATAAAAATTGGAATGAGTGAATACTTCGGCAGCATGCTTCTCAATATCCTTATATTCTGTGACTGATGGTGGCAAAGACTGATTTGAAACACAGTCATCATGCGCCTCGTTCTCACGTAGTCGAACTATGCAATTCTCATAATGCACAACTAGGTCAACAATAGGCATACCGCCGTCCAGGTGAAGGTGAAGATAAGAGTTAAGGCTTTCACTCCTCTGATTACTGCGCATACCCAGAAAAAAACCATCTGACAGATATGATGCTGCCCACAGACTCCTCTTCCTGTACATCCTACTCAGCCACTCTTCTATTTTATCAGTCTTCCATTTACGGACGAAAGCGTGCCATCTCGCCTCAAAGTTAGTTGGAGAGGTGGAGTAGTACAAGAGTGACCTGAACTCATTTAGCGATTTTTAATTAAGGTGCTTCTGCATGTTTTTTTCCACGTGCCATGAGCAGAGACGGTGCAACACATCAACCAAAACCAACCAAATAGCTCGTACCATTGCAGCGTCTCCATCTGTGATGATTGACCTTGGCTTTTTCTGACAATTGGCCTTCAGGAATGTCTGGAGCAGCCACACGTACGTCGCTTCGGTCTCGTCGGACACAATGGCACAACCGAAAACTGTGGTGCAACGGTGGTTATTTACACCAACAAAGGGGATGAACGACATACCATATTTGTTCATCTTATACGTGTTGTCGAACATAGTCACATCTCCATACAACTGATAGTCCCGCCGCGACTGTACATCGCACCAGAACATGCTCTTCAAACGACCCTCCTTATCGAGCACATACTCAAAGAAAAAGTCTGGATCCTTCTCCTTTCTGCTCCTCATAATACCGATTGCTGTGTTAGCATCACCCTTCGCAATCAACTTCATTTTTTCTCGGCAACATAGGTTGTACACGTCTCGTCTCAGAAACCCACACTTATCATACGAGCCATTCCTGCTAATGAAATTGTCGACGATGATATGCTTTCTGATCTCAGCTCCTTCCATCACCAAGATCTCAGCTATCTGGTGATCTTCCACCACTCGATGTGACCGCAGAAATACCACCTCATCTGGTCTAGCCAACAAATGGTTGTGATCATCCATAAAAGCTGCCACAAACCAAACTCCATGTCCTTTGTCCAACTTCACGACTAAATGTGCGCCACACTCACAACGAGTCTCAGGTCTTAGCCTGCGGGTACGGCCCTCCAGGTTTAAAAATTTACTGAGATGTTTTCCTGCCCTCGAGCAAACGTATCGCCTATACCGAACAGTGGTTGAAAGTCCTTTTCCTCGTTTCACCTTATCTTTTTTGATACTGAATCCACGGTCTTTGGCGTAGTTATTATAGAACATGTAGGCCTCCCATTGTGATGCAAATGTCATACCCATAACCTTCAACTGTGTCTCCAGCGCACGTTGCTGGATTTCAGCTTCCTCAATGTCCATATTAGATCCATCCTCATGCTCATATCCATCATCACCACCCCAACCATCAAATTTAGCCTATAATATTCCACATAAGCAAGTGTAAGTTGTCATTAACAAGTTTTATTATTCAATGACATCTTAAATTTTGGACCGAACCTGGCTTATGTTATTCGCGAAAGATTCAACACCATGATTTGCCTCGTTTTGGACGTCAATATCCTCTTGCACATAAAAAAAATCATATGCACATGTAAGTACCATATGGTTCTTCATCCGACGAAAAGAATGTACACGTCACTTACGTTTTCACTACAAGCACCCTCCTCATTCTTTTGAAAATCCTCCTCAGGTAAATTATCGTACGACGACCAGGATTCATTGTCGCTGCTATCATCATCATTTTTACTATCATCACCATTAGTACGATCAACATTATCGCTACCATCCCACTCACTCGTGTCCAAAAACAGATCTGTAAATCCAGTTTCTTTATCCATTGAATGATCTCACAACCAACACTGCAATATTATAATAAAAATTGATCTATTAATTTTAAATCAAATTAAATGTACTACGATCATACAGATGAGAACTTTTTATCTAACAAGTGATTGCACATAATTATTTACAGATACAATTTTTTTTGACAAACTAGACAGCTTACATGGCATGCACGTGCACTTCGGCCGGCCTGGCGTGGCTGCAGACGGCGAGGACGTTCCCGGAGAGGTTGATCACGGAGTTGCGGGTGGCGACGGCGTCCACGTAGGCCACGTCACCACGAAGACCTGCACGGAGGCGACATCACGTACGGCGGGCGACTCCAACAACGTCCGCGCCGGCCAGATCCCGGGTGAAGACGGGGAGAATGGTCGGCGATCGGCGAGGAAAGGCGGCGATCGGCCGGACGGGTAGACGTTGGAATTGGCAGCGTGATCACGGCTAGATCGGCGAGGAAAGGCGGCGATCGGCGGGTAAGGGCGGCGATTAGCGGGGCGGGGCGACATTGGAATGGGCCGCGTGATCAACGCAGGTCATTGGTAAAAAAAAATCGCGCGACGGGGAGAGGGTAGATGCGAGCCGGCCGTATCGGGTCGAGCCGTGCGCTCGGCTCTACCCGTATGGGCACTTTTAACAAATGTGAATGGTCTCTCCATAATACATATGCTCAACCATCCGATTATTACATATAGTTTCAGCCTCCAACTGATTTAAAAGAACCAATAAATGGCCCAAATAAAACACACATTGTTCATGAGCATTGAGAAAAAACTAAGCACAAATTCTTCTATTAGACACCTACCCAAGGTTTGCGAAGATCTCCATGATCGTTGTCTCCAAGA